CGCAGGTGGGGACCGACAGTGTGGGGGCCTTCTCCTGTCTGCAGAGGTTTCCTGGCCGCGGTTGTGGGTGGCCATTCTATCAGTGACAGAGGAGGCAGAAGAGTCGGATCCTAAACTTCGGCTCTGTCCCCGACTCAGGGAAGGAAGCAGGGACCAGGTGTGAGCCGGGGACACCAGGGTTTCTYGTGTGGCTGGAAACCCCCGTCTCCGTCCCGCCTCAGCCCGCTCTGTGGGCCCAGGAGAGCCCCTGCCTCAGGCCCTGCTCTGGGGGGCAGATCTCCCTTTCCCACGCCACAGAGACTCAGGGGCTGCCGAGGGTCTCTCCTGGGGCCGTGGGCAGAAGCGCGGCTGGCTGGGGCGGCTGGATGGGAGTTTGGCCCAGCGCTGGGCTTCCTGCGGCTTCCACACCTGGGTCTCCCAGGAGCCCTCATGGGAGGACCCTGCTGCCGGTGTCTCTGGAAGAGGGGCCAAGAGCCAGGGCCGGGAGGCCTTCAGGAGTTCCTTACCCCGACCTCCAGGAGCKCGAGGCTGTGGGCCCACCTCAGACGGTGCTGGATCCTGGGAGATGAACCCTGTGCCAGGATTAGGGGAGAGTCTTGTTCTTGGTCTCCTGGTTGGCTTTGCCCCTGACACGWGAGCGGGCAGAGGCTTTGACTAACTGGTGCGTGGTCCTCATCAGCCTCCCTCTTCCCTGAGGCCAGGAACACTCCAGATAGAGCCTGCTCCATCAGCCTGTGTCCTGGAATAAAGAGGCTACAGGCACATGGTCCCATCAACCCACAGTCCACATACACCAGGAGCCAGATGTGTCAGCACTTGTAAGCCACCAGATGTGGGGACCACTTTCTACCACAGATAACCCAGCCCCGAGGCTACAGCTAGAACCTGCCCCCCCCATTTAAGGCACCAAGGTTGATTCTAAGTTTGCATGTTAGTTATCCACTGCTGCGTAACAAATGACCCCACAATTTAGCAGCTGACAGCAGCTCACACTTACTGTCTCACAGCTTCTGTGGGCAGGAGTCTAGGCACGGCTTAGCTGGGTCCTTGCCTCRGGTTTCCCACAGGCTCTGGTCCAGGTGTTGGCCAGAGCTGGGGTCTCATCCCAAGGCTCCGCCGGGGAAGGCCACGCTTCGAGCTCACCTGGCTCGCTGGTGTTGGCAGCAGTGGTGGAGCAGGCTGTSGGGCTGCAGGCTGCAGCTCCTGGAGGTGCTGGCTGGAGTGACCCTTGACTCTGTATCACGTGGTTCTCTAACAAGGCAGATGCTCCACGCAGACACGCAATCCTACAAGGCTCCAGAGAGTCGGGCAGTGACCCCGAAGTCACAGAGTCACCGTGCTGTGGAGCATCACTACGAAGGTGAGAGCTCATGACTTCAGTCTGGGCATTAAAGCAAGGTGTTASGTGCAGCCCCTAGTTGTTCGCTCCTTCCCAAGGGAGTGCGACTTCACCAGGGCATGAGTACAGGGGGCAGGGCCATCACACCAGCCCCTCCCCAGACTGTTAGCAAAGGGAATGGCCCTGGATGGAAGTCAGTAGACCCCCGGGGCCCGTCAGGAGTCACCGACCACRGACCTGAGGTTGGTGGCGTTCATATCTGATCCGTGCCCACGATGACCTGTAGACTTTGATCATATTTTCTTTACTTCTCCATCCTTCTTTTTTTAAGTATGTTTTTTAGTTGTTGAKAGACACTTATTTTATTTATGTCTTTCTGTGTGGTGCTGAGCATCGAACCCAGTGCCTCWCACATGCCAGGCAAGTGCGCTACCGCGGAGCCCAGCCCAGCCCCTCCCCATCCTTCCTGACAAGAACCCACACTGTCTCCYGCAGGATTTATCCTGCTACAACTCGGAGATTTGTCACGCTGTCCCAGGCCTGGATGACTCCATCATTTCTTCTGAGAACAGAAACATAAGAAAAGCCGACAGGATCAKCGAGGTCAAAGTGGCAGAACTCTGAAAGGTGCTAGACAGAAGCACACTCAGAGATCTCTGCACCCTCAATCATCTTCTTTCCCCAAACCTAAGCCAACGCCCCCCAGCCCCAGCCTTCTCCATGGCTCCACACCTTCAAATGCACACTGTCTCCAAGTAAGACGACCCTTCTATCAGTCAGCTCTGGCTGTGTAACAAACAGCCATGAAACCTCGGGGCACACAGCAAGAAGCACGTGCTTCCCACTCACCTGTCTGTAGCTCRGCGGGAGCAATTCTGTGCCCCAGACAGAGGTTCTGCAGGCCAGGGCTTCCCACAAGGCCAGGCCCTCCCAGCCCGGTGGAGCTCTGCTGTCTGTGCCTTTCATTTCCGGGGACCAGTGGCTACCAGCTGTGTGTTCTGCTCATGGAAACGGCCATGGTGCCAGAGGGCAGCCCACCGCCCAAGTGCCTTCGCCGTCTTTGTGTGTGTGTCACGGCCCAGTGGCCGAACTGAGTCACATGGCCAGGTTCAAGATCAAGGGGGTGGGGGATGGGCTCTGTCCTCCAGGCGGCTCTGGCTAGGATGGGGACGGGCTGAGGTTTGGGGGCCAGAACCCCATCCGGCACACTTTTATCTCCCCCACACCAGGGGGAGGTTTCAAGTTTATTATTATGGAAACATCTGGAGCAGGGATCCAAGGTGGTGTTCGGAGGTCTCTGCCTCCAGTCTCACTGGAGAGACAGGAACATGTTTAAAGAGAAAATAAGGGAAACAGGGAGGGGCAATGGGTCTGCTCCTTCCTTCACCTGGTCCTGGGGAGGCCCAGGTGTGTGGGCAGGTGCTTCCCTGTGAAGGACACACCCCACCAGCAGGAGGCCCCGGGGCCCAGGGCCAGGAGCAGTGGCCGGCTCTGAGTCACCGAGCAGAGCACCTTCCCCTCCGACAACAGGAGGAAGAGTCCTCTGTGGCGCTTCTACACCTCCCTGATGTGCCTTTTCACAGATCGCACACCTCAGGCGACAGGACGCGTCTCACCGATGCCCTTTTATTGGGATGATGTTTCTATTTGTGAGTTTCTCTTCTCTTTCTGATGGATAGCCCTGGTTTCCTTGGCAAGACCGGATTTCCTTTTAAATAAATCTATTAAAATAAACAGTTGACTTCCAGAGAAACAGAGCGGACAGTAAGCAGCTCAGGCGGCAGGTTGTCAGGCGGTCATCCAGGTGCCCGTCCACACTGGGTCACTGGTGCAGGGCCTTTGGGCAGGTGGCCTTGCAGATGCCTCAGTTTCTTCATGGATAAAACCAGGGTGACTCCTTCAGCAGGGCTCTTGTGCTACGTTGAAGGTGATACTTATAAAGGAGCCAGCACTCAGTAGGCGCTCAGCACATGGCAGAAGCCCACCTACTCTCTCTCCACCTGGACTTTCCCTTTGGGTTGTCCAGGTGGCCACCGACAGGCAGGAACCACTGTCCAAGCAGGTCCATGTTCAAATTCACACCTTCCTGCACCTCTTCAGACCCAAAGAATCTCACTTGGGGGACGAGAGTCCATGCAATTAAAAGGGACCTGGCAAATGAGACCCCAGACTAACTGAGCAAGCTCAGGGCCGGCAAGGTGGGATGTCCCTTTGGAGGGGGTCTCAAATCCCCCAGGATTTCTAGTTTCGACCCAGTGAGGCCCGCCCACCAACGCTCCTCAAGGATTAGAAAGAGATGCTCATCAGAGAATCTACACAGTGTCCCGGCCAGACCACAATATGCAATAAATCGTATTTCTTTTCTTTTTTGTTTTAAAGATTTTTAAAAAATATCAATTTTTTTCCAAGTAGTTGGACACAATACCTTTATTTTTTTAAATTTATTTTTATGGGGTGCTGAGGATCAAACCCAGGGCCTCACATGTGCTAGACGTGTGCTCTATTGCTGAGCCACAACCCCGCCTCAATAAGTCGCATTTCTTAAGAAGGCGTTCTGATTCCCTTGGCAGCAGCATGAACGAGTTGCCTGTGTGCCTGAGTTTGTCCAAATAACATCAACCCATGACATTCTCAATGTGCTGCAATATGTCCTGACCCAGCTTTGGAAGTTTTTCAATTTTTAAAATACGCCTTTCAACACACACGATGGAGCTCGGACCCCCCCTCTGGCCTCCTTCCTCATCCTCCCCAGAGCCTCCCAGCCCACCAGCCCTCGACTTCCAGATGGGGAAACTGAGGCTGGAAACAAAGGCAGTTTTTTGATGTCATTTTCAGGGGTGGGTCCAAAACATGGGGCGTGATTTTTCGTGACGTGTGTGTGTGTGTGTGTGTGTGTGTGTGTGTGTGTTGGCGCCCCGAGTGAATGGAGGAGAGTGGAGACACCTTCAGACTCATTCCTGGACCTCCCCCTGAGACAGTAACGGTGCTTAACCTTCAGAGCCGAACTCGGAGCCGGGCAGGTGGTGCCTGTGAACTCCCCATCATGAGCTCTTCCAGCTACACACGGCGCAAGGAAGGGATTCTGCTGACTCCCATTTCCAGAAAGGGCAACCGAGGCAGGTGAGATGGAGAAGGAGTCCCCTGCCCCGGGGCGCGGTGGCGACGCTGGTAATTCCAGGAGGATCGCGAGTTCGGGACCAGCCCGGGTACTTTAGCCAGGCTTCTTAAAATAAAGAAACGGAAAGGTCTGGGATGTCCCTCAGTGGTGGCGCCCCCCGGGRTTCCGCCCCCAGAACCAAGGGAACAAGTTCACCAAGTTCCAAAAGCGCGGGACGAGGGATGCCAAAGAAGGCGCCGGATTCCAGGGGATTCCGGGACTCCCCACCCGAAGGAAGGGAAGAAAAGGGGAGAAGCCCGAGGACCGAGGGCGGGCGACCTGCGGGAGGGCGCCGCCCGGACGTCCAGCGCCCGGAGCTGTCCCTTCTCGCGGTCCCGGCCGCAGAGCCCCGACTCCGCCCCAAACTTGGCCGCAGCGTGCCCGGGAGGCGGCGGGCCGGGGGCGCGGCCCGGCCGGCCCTCCCCTCGGGTCCCCCCGCCTCCCGAGGTCCCGCCCACTGGCTCCCGGGCCCTGACATCACCGCGGGAGGCGGCCTGGAAGGAGGGGGCCGCGAGAGGAGGCTCGGCGCGGCGCCGAGGGAGGAGGGCGGCGCGCGTCCAGCCCAGAGCTTCAAAACCGCGCGGCCGCCTCCCCTCGCGCCCAGCCCGCGCGTCCGTCCAGCCGCCAGCGCCGCCGCCAGCGTCCGGTGAGTGGGTGCCCCCGGGGACCGCGAGCAGGGCGCGGGTGACCCCGGGGCTGCGGGCCGCGTGCGCCCTGGGCCGCCGGCGCGATCGTCCTCTTTAGGGACCGAGAAAGGCCCSGGGACGGGTGGGGGGCAGGGAGGAGCCGGGAGCGCCCGGGGGCCTGAGGTCCACTACTGCCCCGGACCCGCCCGGCTGGCCACCCCGGACAGCTGCCTTCGCCTTTGCGCCGAGGCGGGCGGGAAAAGTTCGGGGAGGAGTCAGGGCGGCGCCCCTCACCCCCGCCAGCCTCAGCCCGGAGTCCGGGGCACTCCCCACGCCCCGGGTGGGACCCCAGCGCGCGACCCAGCCGCCAGGAGCCGGGCGGGGCACGACGGCGCCGGGCGGAGTCGGCGTCCTCGCGGGCTGCGCGCCCCTGCGGCCCCGGCGCGGCCCYGTCGCGCCCCCCGGCGGCCGGGATCGACGTCCTGGGGACCGTGGCGGTGGCGGAGGCTGTGACCCTTCTCTCCGCTGGTCCACCACCCCAGGGTTGAAGGGCTGTAGGGGGAGTGCCCTGCCCGTGGATTCCAGCGGAGGGGAGGCTAGAACTCGGGTGTGGACCCTACGTCCCCCAGATCCAGAGACTTAAACACCCCACGGAGAGCTCTGAGGTCGTCGTGTGGGGGTGACACGGAACCCGGGGGCCCCAGGGAGCCCCTACAGAGCCAGGCTTCCCTCCAGGACCCAGCTTTGGGGAGGCAACTAGCCCCGCAGCGCTGTCCCCTCCCAAGCGGTGGGTGCCCGGGTGAGAGGCTCGGAGACCTCAGAAGTCCCAGCCCGCCGCCGTGTGGTTCCACGTCCGGCCCGGAGCGCGCAGATTCCTAGTTAAGGAAAGTGGATGACGTCGGCGGCTCGGAGCGCGGSCTCTTGTTTGTGGGGTGCAGGATATCTGTTGGGGAGGATGACAAAGTTTTGGGTGTAGACAGAGGTAATGGTCACACAACTTTGTAGGCGTGTTTCAAGCCGATTGGACACCAACACGGGGTTAAGATATTTACTGCATGTTTTACCACCACGAGGGGGGGGGAGCGACACCTGAGGCCACACCTCGGCACTTGAGTCCCATAGAAATTCCAGGACCGAGGCGGCGTCGGTGGCCACCTGTCCCTGGAACTTTGCCTCCAGATGGGGAAGGGATGGAGGACGAGGAAGGCGCAGTTTGCCCAGGAGTCAGCCGGGCAGAGCGGAGGTGAGCGGTGGGCTGCGCCTGCCCCCTCCCCTGCCCCTCCCGGCTTCCTGGTGAGGCGCGCCCTGCGCTGTCCCCAGGAGCCTCTCTGCCGCAGGTGGCGAAGCCTGGCCAAGCAGTKACTCAGGGCCAGGAGCCCCACCTGCCTCCCCTCCAGCCCCCCTCTTTCCGGCCTGGCCAGGCCTTGGTGTGCGTGGGAACGGGGTGGGGTGCGGGGAACAGRGCGCAGATATCCGCAGGCGCTCGCGGGTAGATGCCCAGCCCACAGCCCCGGCAGGGCGTGGGGTGGCAGGGAGGCGCGGAACCTGTTTTCCCACCGCCCCCAGAAGAGGCTGGAGGCCGAGGCAGAGCAGGCCACGGCGCCTGGAGCCTCTTCTGTCCCTCAGGAGGAGAACTGGGTGAGCCTGCCGTCCAGGGAAGGGTGTTTGTGTTGGAAGCCCTGTAGGTGGCCAGCGGGGCCCGGAGGGAGGGCCAGGAAGCCGGAGCGAAGGGGTTGAGCTCGGGGCTGCGGCCCCACCCACAGGGGAGGGCCCCCCTCAGGCTGGCGCTGCCCCAGATTGGGCCTCTTAATTGTAAATACAAGGTGCATCCATTAAGCACCCCACACACACCAGGAATCACACCCGGGTTTCTTTTTCTGGCTTCTGCCGCAGTATCTTAACGCGGGACCTCCACCCGGGCCTGTGACAGCACAGGTAGTTCAGCACAGGTAGTTCTGGATCTCCAGCACAGGTAGTTCACCTGGAGGACCAGTGTTTTTCCRCCCAGGCCTAGATGCGGCCTCCCCACCCTGTCCTCTGCTCTGTGCCTCCCTGGCCGGTGGGGCCCAGGGAAGTCCCATTCTTTGTCATGACCACACTCGAGGGTCATGACATGGCCAGAAAGGGAAACCTGTCAGACAAACACACATGAACACTTGGCCGGCCAGAGGCCTGGCCTCAGACTGCCCACTAGGTGTGGAGGTGTGTTTGGGAGGCGGGAATCCAGTACCCTGGGGGGGGCAGCTCAGGGAGCGTGGGGGGGGCAACACCTGGCTCACGCCCAGCTCTTGGCCAAGTGGGGCCTGGACACAGGCTTTAGCCCTGGGGGAGGGGAGCCACGGGGAGCCCCCGAGGGTGGAGGTGGTGGCTCATCACCCAAAGGTGGGCTGGGGTCCCAGGTACTGGCCCTGGGGAGAGTGTGTGTGTGTGTGACAGTGACAGGGTTTGGGAGAGTAGGTGACCGACGGCGGCTGGATTGGGGGAAAGGGCAGTTGGCATCCTAGGAAGAACTGGCGCTGGTGGCTTCCGCTTGTCTCCGGAAGGCATGGGGCTAGGTGTGGGGTAGCGCGACCAGGGGGCTCCCTCCGGYCCCCGCCAGCGGCCGGGGACTCTGGCTCTGTGCAGGAGTTGCCCAGAGGGTGCCGTTTGGGCAGGGCTCTGGCGGGAATCGGGAATCAGATGCATCTGGCTCTTGTTAGGCCAGGCCCAGGGGCTTGTCTAAAAATATCAGARGCAGCGCTGCCACCCAACCAGAGTGGAGCCCGGCTGTAACCCGATGCCCAGGGCGGGGGCTGGCGGTGACACCAGGCCTGCCGTGTTCCAGAGTCCCTGGGACTCCTCCTGGCAGCCCAGCCAGGGACGGGGCAGCGCAGGAAGGGAGAGGAAGCATTCAGGGCAGCCATGGGCTGGGGGACATCAGGACCTTAGGAAGTCCCAGTCTGGTGGCTGGGGACCCTCAGAAGTGGAATGAGCTGTGCGGCATCCACGGGGAGTTGGCAGCAGACCCAGGGCCAGATCTGGGTGTAGGGCTCACCCAGCTGAGGAGCCCAGAGGCTGGGGAGGGTCGGGGGATCCCAGCCCTAGGTCCCCAGGGTGAGCGACCCATCTRTCCAGGCTGCTGACACCCTAGGGGAATGGCGGGCAAAGAGCTACGATGGGTGCGAGAACCKGAATTCCTGGCCCTTACCTTTCTTGGGAAGCCGGGCTTCAGTTGACCTCTGGGGACCAAGGGGAGGARGGGCTGCTCCAGGTCCTGCCCTCCATGGACAGGCTGGACGACATCAGCKTCTAGAAGCTTCCTGGGACTCTGGGTCCAGAACGGAGGGAGGCATCACCAAGTGACGTTGGTATGATATTTGCCCTCAGAAACCTGGGACATAAAGTAGCTCTCACCATGCAGGACGTCGAGACGGCCAAGAGTCCCTCCCTACGCAGGGCTCCTGGTCTGAACTCAAGGACTTTCCTATAGCAGAGTCCCTCGCTTGAGATATTTTTTTTTCTTATGTGCTAATCACAAACTTCTCCGGTGAACTGTSTTTCCTTAGAAGGAAAAAAATTTAAATATTTTTTTCAGTTAGTAAATATGATCCCAAGGATCTCATTAATCTTATTTTTTAAAAAATTTTTTTGGAGGTAATAAGGATTGAACTCAGGGGCACTCAACCACTGAGCCACATCCTCAGCCCTTTTTTGTATTTTATTTAGAGACAGRGTCTCACTGAGTTGCTCAGCGCCTCATCATGGCTGAGGCTGGCTTTGAACTTGCGATCCTCCTGCCTCAGCCTCCYGAGCTGCTGGGATGACAGGCCTGTGCCATCTCACCAGGCTTCATCAATCTTATTTTAATGAATGTTTCCCAAGGGGTGTCATTATTGGTGGCACCCAAGATGATTTTTAAAGGTCTGCAGTGGAACATTAAAAAAGAATAGATTAATTAACGTATTTTTCTTGATAGACATTTGAGAAAGACATGTAAACCGCACACAAACCCTGGGTTTCACAAATACTCCTGCTTAAGTTCCAGTGAATGCTGAGGTTTTACACTTGACATTTTTAAGTATTTGAAGAATTTCCTTAATAGGCACAAGGGAGACGGTTTCTAATGAGGACTGGAATGTACACATTTCATACCTTCTACCATGGGTCTGATCTGGAAAGATCTTTAGCTCCCCACTCCAGCTCCCCTCTCCCCACCCCAGCTCCCTTCTCCCCAGAGGCCCCAGGGGTCAGCTCCAGACGGAGACCGGCGGCTTGGCTTAGCTTCTGAGAGTCTCTGTGATGCAGGTCACCCTCTGCCCCCTGGCCCTCGCTGCTGCCCTGAGGGTCAGAGGAGATGACATACCCATGTCAGCAGGTGGAAGTGGCTCGGGGACCTGTGGTCTGCAGGCGGAGAGGCTGGCCGGCCCACTTTGGTCTTGAAGGAGACTCTAACCATCAAAGCAGGACTTCCCTGTCTTCAAAGGAAGGTGTAGTGCAGTAAAGGGCTGATGAGCATCAGATGAGCGCTCCAGGACCGGGCCACCACGCGCGGTTTCAGGGAAGCCAGCACGACACTCCTGCAGCCTTTAGACAGGGTGGGAGGAGCCCTTAGTCTCCCTGCCCCAGCACGGTGGGGATTCCAGGGAGAGCCACCTCATAACTATGAAAACACGCTTCACCATGGGTGCCAGTATGGAAACAGCTGTGTGGCCTTACTGAGCTAAAAAAGTCRTCAACTGTGCATGAAAAGGCACTATTTATATAAAAATGGACCTTCCTGCCTCGCACGCCTTGTGTGTGTKCGAGGAACAGTGCTTGGAAGGGTGGCCAGTAGAGGAGCGTGGTTGCCTCTGGTGAGAGCCAGGGGTGCCCAGTGGGTGAGGGGACTCCCGTCCTGTCTAGGACAGGAGACTGTGCCTGAGTCCCCTCTGTGCCAGACCCCACTGAAGAAGCCGCTCCTCCCAGCCTGGGGACATGCCAGCTTTCCCAGGGTGGTGGGCCGACCTTTAGACGTGAGTGTGGCCGCGGCAGGCGGATGGAT